GGGAAAGGGAATCACGTCCAGAGTTTCGCAGAAAGAAGAAACCGGGATCATTCCACATTCGAGACAATCATCATATGTGAGCTGCGCCCAGCTGGGGGCCTGACCACCAGACAGCCGCCTGCAGCATCATGCGACAAGAGTCCACATCCCGCACCATGCTCGAACCACCGAAGCATCTCATCTTCCCCTGCTTTCTTCTTGCCCCGCTGGTCCGTGCCACTGCTGCTACACACTCTGCAGCAAAGTTGGATCATGAGGATATCAATAACAGTATAGTGGCAATCACAACCGCAAACACACCATGATGTAACTGTCTTGAAGAAATGCGACATAGACTTTCTACAGGTGGCCACGCCACTGGTGCGATAATGAAGGACGATGTCTGTTGTACTGTCATCAGTGACGCTGGCAAGCCGACTGCCACCCTTGCATTTCGTGGCATTTCTACTTCACAGGCTTCAAGATGTTAGAAGTTTCGGCTACAGGATATTCACAACGGTGTTCTGCCTCAATACTTGGCCGTCAAACAACCTTGCAAAACCGCAAGACAAGACTGCCGTGTCGAAATTCTCCAATAGCTAGAGGCCCACACAGCATTGGAATTCATTGATCACTGGTTTGCCGGACAACAAAACCCTGGAAGTTAGAACTTCCCAATCGACGATTTGCCAAAAGACGAAACCCAAGTGATCCAGCGGAGGGTTGCTCAAGAAAGAAGAGTCGTTGCACTGCGCCCTTGCACATGCCTGAGCTAAAATGCTCAGCTAAACCTTGCGTTCACCCTTGCGTGAGATTGAAATGAGAGATGATCACCGAAACACCAGTTTGAGAGACACGATTTCCGACTGTGGCCAAGTCGAAAGTGCAGGGACTTTGACTTTCACGACATCGAACGATCTGACAGCGAAAGTTAGCACGGGAGTGGCGGCTCAGACAAGCTTTGCCCATACAGCTAAAGCCCAATCGAAAACAATGCAGCGCACTTGCCTGTCATACAGGTTAGCCGGCTACTGGAGCAACCGCTATACGGAAGGCGCAGGCCTTTTGGGGGCAGGGTTGAACAGAGAACGGATGGAGCCCGATCAAGCTTCGAAACGCAGCACGAATCCCACACGACAACACACTCTCAACTTGCCATCCCTGTGCGCCTGTGACTCGAGCCATGTCCACCTCAGCATCTAGCAATCAGGAGAGGATGGGTCATCGTCAAGGTGAACACGTGTTTGTTCATGAGGTGTCCCATAAAGGATCCGAGGCATGCTCGAACTTATGAGCCTGCGCCTAGAAGTCTCGGCTCCAGGCTGTCGTGGCTGTCGCTGGCATGGCTGTCGCTAGAGTGGCTGTCGCTGGCGTGGCTGTCGCTGGCGTGGCTGTCGCTGGCGTGGCTGTCGGAGTGGCCTTCATGCAGGCTTGATCAAACTCCACAAGGCCACACTTCGCACTGTTCTGCTTTAGCGGTGGTGCATTGCACTGTTCTGTTCTGTCGACGGCATCAAGCAAAGCCACGCTGACAATCCACTTTGTGCGGAGGCATTGCCCTCGTGGCTTCTGCAATCTGCCATAGTCTCAAAAAGACCGCAAACCCCTGCCCTTTGCACCCAGTGATCGGGAAAGCTCGGACACAAAGAACCTCCTGTACCAACTTTACTGTACCAACTACAGCTATAGTGGTGCGACTAACCCCCGCGAAACTAGACCCCTCAGACTGTCAGCCTGATCTGCGACTCCGGTCTCCTGGTTCTGGTGTACGTACTCGGTCAGTGTGACCAACTACCGCGTGCCTTCTTCTACCTCGGACCTACCATAGAATGACTCTTTCTCCCTGTCGCTCATGCTGTCTATACAACACGCCCTTTGAACACAATAGGCCTGCTGAATGGCTTCCGTCGTCCATGGGCATTTCAGCGGCATGCTCGCTGCTGTGTTCTCCAGCGCTGTGGTCGTCGGACCCATGCGCACCCTGGCAAAAGCAGCTACCCGATTCTCAGCATCCACCCGTTCAAGGTGCAACGTGAGCACAGCCTCCATGGGCTGTGCCCCGCCAACATAGTCAACGGTCATGTTGAACAAGCCGCTGCCCTGGGTTGCAGAGCGATGGCAGACGCTGCCTCCCTTCACCGGTGCTAAGGCAAGAGCGTGGCTGCCATGGCCATGGTCTCCATGAGCTGGGCGCAACGGAGGCCATACCGCCACACCCACACTTTGACAAGAGGTCCAATGTCCTTCAGCTTAGCACCGGGCCATAGTCTGCAGGATTGCAGACGCCCAAACCGGCAATTCTTCCCAATGTCTCGGCGACAACGCAACGCTAGCGAGAAATCATTGACCATCGTCACCCCCACTGAACAAGACGACTGCTAAACAAGGCCCTACTCTAAGCGAAAGCAATGGAAGTCCCGAGAATAAGCGCTGCACCGGTCCCAAAGACAGTCCATGCCTGGGCATCACGACAAGAGTTGTTGCTGCTTGCGGGATCAGTTGTGCGGCACCGAACTTGCACTCGCAGCCCTACCCATGGCGGAAGAAGGCTTGTGGTCGGGGCCGTTGGGGATGGGGTCATCAGCCGAGGTTCGCGATGCGATGTTCCAAATCGTCAGGCGCAGTGCAGTCATCAACTCGCTTGGTCTCGCAAACCTCGGGCCGTCGGATCCATATATGAAGAGTTTTCTCGACAGGTTGGAATCGGTTAGAAGCATGTTGCAGCAGGTGAGGTGCTTAGCTGAGATTGGAACGGTGTAGACGGGATCGACCAAGCCGAAACCCCTGTGGCGCTCGGACAATGAGACCGTGAGACTCCGTGGTCCCTGTCCCTGGCGGCCCTGGTGGCGCCTGGGGCCAAGAGCAACTCCGACGGTGATCTCCAGGACGATGGAGGAAATCCTCGAGCGCGAGCGCGAGCATGCGCTTGCCGCAGCTTTTCTGGGATCCCGGTCGGCTGAGTCCCGTGCCCCAACAGCCGAGAGACTTTGCTGGCTGTCCATGCGGCCCTGTCAAGAGATGTTGTGCTTGCAGGTGTTCAGGACAGCAGAACATCTAACATAGCAATTTTGGGGGCAGCGATGCTCTAGAAGTGTTTCGAATTCGCGATTGGCAACTGGCGTGCTTGACAGCAGGTGCCCACGCAACAGAGAGGGCTACATGCATGCCGCCTTGAGCATTGTTGGTGTCTGAATGCTACTTCGCCAGACCCCCCTGCGATGTCACTCTGAGCGCCCTTGCCCAAGGAAGCCCGCGATGCTCAACATCGCGATGTAGCTGCTAGCGCCTTCGACATGCTGCTTGAGACTTGCGCGTCAGCTGCCAGAAGCCTTGCTTTACATGCTGCGATCTCTGACCCTAGCATGCATCACGTGCCTCCCATGGTGACAAGAGTAGAAGGACCTGGCAGGACTCAACGAATACTGACCAGGTCATTGGAGGGGATGCCATGTGCCTCGACTTTGGAGGGAGACGACAACGTTTAGTCAAGTCCTGCGAAGGCTCGCAGCTGAAAGCTCATCCGAATCCCACGACGCCGTAATTACAATTGCCGAAGCCACACTTGGCTGCCGCCCCGTCCCCTTCTCTACACACCCGGAGAACTCGGGGCCCCGGGTATCGGTCCTGAAGTCAGGAATCCAGGGGCACAACTTCTGTCGGAGCCGCGACGGCAGCACACAACTAGAACATCAATGACGGACAGAGGCAGCTCAAAGGATCTGTCCAACATCACACGCATGCTTCGACTTCGATGCGACCGCGTCTCCATTTCCCTCTTCTTTCGCAACATGCAGCTCAGTCTGCTACATCTCCAAGACTTGGACACAGTGCAATTACTGCATCGATGAACAACATGAGCATGTCTTCCCTGGCGGTGCGTTCATCGCAGCCCATGTTGGACCATGTCTTCACTGCGCACGGAGTATTGTGCCGTCTCTTCGCCAATCTCACACTGACCGGTCTGGCGTACCTCCAAAAGGAGTAAGGCTTTGCCTGCAACCTCACTGCCGTTCCAGAGTCCTCAGCGTCAGGCTGCACGGGTCCCACAGGCCGAGACTGAAAGGGCTTGAAGGGCTTGAGGCGGCTTGAGGCCCTGTCCAGCTGGCGGTTGGAGCACCTCTGCCCGCACGGGGTACGCATCGCGGCACGAAGCTGCCTGGCAACCGCCATAGAAGTGCAAGGCTGGGTGCCCAAGCAGATGTGAGGTCCGTTCAGGTCATAAGTCATCAACGTTTACACCGCTATCCTCGAAGAAGTGTAAACTTAATTCCAACACCAACAACTTTTGAGAGAGCGTGCAGTGGTTCCAACGGCTTTCCAAAACGAATCTCTCCTAGCAGTCCTCACGGCCAAGAACCGTCAGCGTGTCGTGTTTTGAACACAGATGAGTTGCATCGCGAAGTCCAAAAAAAACTGTCGACTGGCAGTGGTAACTGCCAGACGAATTTTAGTGATGAACCTGCTGCAATTCTGCAGTGGCTGAAGATGTCTGAGCTGCTGTCCAGCTTTCTGGCGCGGCAGAGGTTTCCATAAGGTCTGAACTGTTCATTCAGCTGGAGCCAGAATGCCAAAGGATGTTCAAAGCTGTGACTCTGACCGTCTGCCATTATGGCGAAGATCATATGGTCACAAACACCCCGAAACACTGACTGAGTGTGCTCCCCAGCAGGCACAAAAGCCCGGCTAACTGGTCGGCCCGACTTGTAACAATCGGTAACTCGCAAACTCTTGTGAAGGTGTTACAGTCCTGTACAGGACGACCTGCAGAGTTAGCAGGGATATGGTGCCACGAGATGAAAGAAGCACGACTGCTGCCCACGCCGTGGCTCCTCGAAGCGTGCATCTCAAGCTCCTCAACAGCTGTCAGCCTCAGCCAGGCGCATGCAGGACGGCTAGCGGACCAGCTCAAGACCTGTCTTCCAAAAGTTGCAGTTTCTTTGACATCCCGGCTTGGGACAGGCGAGAGAGTCACACAAACTCTTAGAACCGTTTAGGTGTCTTACCTGCCCAGGCGCAAGGTTTCAGGAGCCCGCAACCGGAGTTGCTAACAGGTCATGGAAGGCAGTGCTGTCATGAAGGGCAGCGGAGTTGGCGGCTGCACCCTTGGTGGTCACTAACCATCATCAGGCTAAAAGCTTGGGTGGTGGACTCTCCATTCTTAGTTTTGCCGCAGCATTACACGAAGGAGAGAACCTGGACTGTTCTGCATGCCAAAACGCACCATCCCTCGACTTGGTGCGCTTGAGCATCTGATCAGGAGGAAGATCCTCTCAGCTGAGTTCACTTGGTGGAAGCTTGAACAAAACAGCACAGAATCAACCTTGAAGGCTAGCAATGCACCAGATGTGACGCCGGAGCGACCAGCACGAACGTGCAAAGCATGTAGACGTTCTTTCGGGTGCACAAGTAATACTGATCCAGGGAATCGATAATGACGATGCAGGCCAAGCGTCTGTGTTGACCACCGTCTGATTCATCTCGTGTATGAAATACCGTGCATAGATAACCTCAGCCAAGTCTCGTATGAGAGCATTCCTACGCGGTATCGTTCCGAAATCTCACATCCGAGCATTGGCTAGTTACTAGGCCCTTGCCAAGAAGATTCACCAAATCGCTAAACAGCAGCTTGAATCAGGGCCAAACCCTAAGATGGCCGAGCTCGATGCTTGACGCCCTGGAAAGTGCCGTTTGGCTTGGTGCGGGCTCCGCAAAGCTAGTTCGAGGGACCAGTTTGGGGCTGTCCGGACCAGATGGGATGCCAGAGCTAAGCCCAAATGCATTGTTTAGGCGCCCGCCCCAGAATACATTTGCGCTTTGTCGCAATACGAAGCACGAGACACCAGACTTTTGACTTCGGCCCGCTCAGATGCGGGTTTTCAGGCCCAGACTTAACAAGTTTGAAGCATGTTCGTGCGGATTGGGGTGGGGCGGGAGAAGGCAAAACTGCTCAAGCCAAGACCAGCTGCAGCCGTGCCGAAGAATGTAAAAACTGCTCTTGGGTTTACCGTCTCGGCGCAGGACGGCGTGAAACACCAAAAGCGCTCATTTCTTGGATTAGCCGCATCTTCAAAGACGTGCGGCATCGAATGCATGGCTGGAGGCTGAGAGATATCTAGCCTGGTCTTCCACTGGACGAGAGATTGAAGACGCTTGAAATCAATCTTGGCCATCATTGGCGAACGAAGCTAAGACGCAGACATTGGCAAAGGCTTGTCCTGTGCACTGAACCTTGTACAAGGATTAAGGAAGCCTGAGACAGAGCTGCTGCTGAGAAACTACATCGCAGAATGTCGGCAAATCCTCGACGGGACGAGACGTACACAAATGGCCGACGCACCCGTGCACGCCCCGAGCGTCCACGCGCGCATGTTACACGTGCATCACAGCTCCTGCTGCACCACACGGCCAAAGTCCTCGCTCTTGATTGCCAGAATCTGCGAGTCCTTTGCTGTAAGAACATATTCGTCCAACAAAACCCTGTTCTACCTCTCAATAAAATGGTCTTCACTAAAATGTCAAGCGGCTGTTGTCCCAGAAAGGCGACCGGTGTGTTGCCACGAAGTCCTTTGAAGGATTGAAGCAGCTATGCCTACTCCTGTGCTGATGTCACATCCCAATCCCCGGTTCTGATTTGGTGCATCATCCATTCGCCTATTGTCGAATCTTGGCGACCTTGTGCATTGACGTTTTCTACATGGCTTGGGGGGGTGGTGGGGCCCCCCGGAAACTATTCGAGTATTTTTGCTATGGCCGTGCGCACGAACGACGCGCGCTTTGGCGCCTTCTGTGAAGCTCCCCGTAGCAGTCTTAAAAGGGCAATATACTTGAAGTTAGCTCCAAAAAAGGGCGATGTGGTCCTGCCAAATTTGTGGATAATGTCTGGATGTCACAACTTCTAGCCAGTAGGGGCATTTCCTCCCTCTGCGCTTGCCCTGTGTGAGGATTCGATCCTTATACTGTTCGAGCATAGGATTCGTTTGCGGCCAGACGTGTCCTTACCAATACGTCAAGGCCGCTGAAACCGCCTGGAAACATTGCTGAGGGACGCATATTTTGAACTGGTTCAATCTTCATAGTTGGCTTGTGGCGCTCTACTTCCCCGTCATTTGCAAGTCTCCAAACCACGGCAAAAAAAACGGATGCGACTGCCATCTACCAACTGCACGGAGACTTCTGCAGAACGACATGGGAAACTATGACTAGTGACTACATGTCAGACAGGTTGACAGATGCCAAGGTGCCAAAGGGCGTGCTCGCTGATCCACGACCCCGACGACAGTTCCAGCGACGAATCCTTGATTCGTCAAAACGGGCGCACAAGCACGGTGAGTTGCAGCCCAATAACTACTACACCCACTGCTGGAAGCTGCAGTGATTCCCAATTGAAACACTTTGTTCAGGATCAGCAGACCGGGCACTCGATTCTTGTTCAAGCCCTCGTTGGGCATCACCTGGTTCCGGTTCCAGCTCGACCGGCAACAGCCTGAGTGGCAAGCGGACAAGGGAGAGAGCTGCTTTGATTGCTTTGATTCGATATGCTTTGATACGTTTCCAGACAACCGAAAGCTGAAGCTTGGACGTCCGTTTCTCTGTATTTGCCGGTGGGCTGCTTGCTGCTCCCCGTGCTAACGTCAGACATCATAAGTTGGGCCATTACCTGAAGAGATATGTCTGCGCTTGCTTCTAGCCCCTGAACGACTCTTGGTGCATTTGGTTGTGAAACTGGAAAGGAGTGTGCATGCATCTGCCGTCGGGGCCCACTTTGCTCGAGCCATTTTCGTTGATGTCATGCGCGTGTTATTCTGCGCCCCATAGATGATGAACTGGGATCGCCAAATGAGGGGGAGTGTTGAAGATCTATGATGAACTGGAATGGCCAAAAGGGAGGGTGTTTATATATGATGACCAGGAATCTCCAGATGAGGAGGCCAGTTCAAGATATATGTTGAACCGGGATCGCCAAGTAAGAGGGCGTGCTTAAGATATACATATATATATATATGATGATGATGATGAACCGGGATAAAGGACGGTGCATGTTTCAGATATGTTTGATGAACCGGGATCGCCAAGTGAGAGGGGCTGTTTAAGATATATGATGAAACGGGATCACCAAACGAGGGGGCGTGTTGAAGATCTGTGATGAACTGGAATGGCCAAACGAGGGAGTGTTTAGGATATATGGAGCCGGGATAGCCAAATGAGGGGCCAGTTTAAGATATATGTTGAACCGGGATCGCCAAGTAAGTGTGCTGAAGATATGATGAACCCAGCCGGGCGGGCCGCGTGGCCGCGTGGCCGCGGCGGCATGGAAACACTACTTTGGTGAAGTTAGACAGCAATAGCAATTCTGACGGACAAGACAAGAGACGCGATCAAACTGGTACTCGAGATTGGCAAGAGTTCTCGCCAACACAGGCGAGCTCGGAATCAAGAAGCTGCGTCCACGACAGGGCAGAGTTGGAAGCACGCTCCGTTGCAGACGACCTTCGACCCTGAGCGAAGCTGAGATGTTGCAGCCAGGTCGCAGAGGCGCTCACTGATCGTCTCTTTCTGGACCGAGTCTCTCCCTGCCGCGCAGTGGGGAGCTGTGCTGAGAGGCTGAGAGTCCCAGTGTATCACGATCGGAACATGCACTCAAACCGCAATCTGGCAGACGGGACTCAGAAGCCATGTCGAACTGTTGGGTACAGCGAAAGCGTCGGTTCTCACTTCCGAGGCGAATCGAACACGACACAAGCCAAGACAGAACCCTTCCAATTCCCAGGGTATCCTCCAGCAATCTCCACGTCCATGGAGTATCGCAGCTTCCCAGACTCACACATGTACATGCCTGAGAGACCAGAGCTCCTAGTCTCGACTCGCTTTGGCTTCGCTTTGCAGACAACGTACGTACTAGGTTTCGCATGCCGGCCATGGAGCCGTGAAGGATGCATAAGGATACCCCACAGAGCCATGGATCAACATCGGCAAAAGTGATGTCTGTCTTTGACCTGGCTAGAGGCTGGAAGCGACCGCGCCGACTTCGAAGATTGCATCGCCAGCCAAGATGTGCTGCCTGAGCGAAGAGGGGGTACTAGCAGCAGTGCTAGAGCATAGAAGGCGACAAACTAATGCTTCACGGGAGCTCGTGCACGGCTTCATAGCCTTGCAGAGGCGGGCAGAAGCAAAAGGGCAACCGTTCGGTGCCCCGACGAGAGGGCCCCGGCCCCACATCCGACAGTAGGACTGACACCCTTCTCGACACTTGGAGGCCGAGCGGCAGAGGTCTTCCATCGCATGGCTCGAAGAGATCTTTATCTTCGAGAAGAGGTCGTGATGAACCAGCGTCGGCGTCCTGCGACTCTCAGCTCGTCGACACATCTTTGCACTGCGGATTCATGCTTTCTTTGCTGAAGGCAATCGAAACGAGGAGAGGCAGTAATCGAAACCTCTGGTCACCGTCTTGATAGCTGAGGAAACCGGACACCACTGTAAAGAAAACCAGAGACCTTCAACCCAAAACCCTCCAGCAATCCAACAACAAACAAGATGCCGGTAAGCCTCGACCTTCTGCCGCGAAGCATTCCTGAAAATGCTAATCCTCAGGCTCTGAACCTTACAGCCTGTAGCCCTAACGCACCAAGCCCCAACAGGATGCACCCTGATGAATAGCTGTCATTGAAAGGTCTTGCTTCGGCACGGTTGTAAGACCCTGAACCTGATTTTGGACAGTGTCCGGCGTAACCCACTGAAAGCTCAGCAGACACCGAAACCTCGCAAAGCGGTCCTCGCCGTATGATACCTGGCTCACGTGCTGGATATTCGCACGATACGCAGAGGCTTCGATGCACGGCTGAGATATAGTACATTGCTGCGCCTTAGGGGCGCCTCTATTTGTGTCGAGAGGCAGCAGTCGGAGCAGCTCCTCCGGCAACGCCGCCTCCAGGACCTGCACGGGCTGCCGACCGCCGCACGCTGCGCGCCCGCCGCACACTGCGTGCGCTGCAACACACGTTCCGTGCCTGAAGGCTGGTCTTCCACTTCACCCGCTCCTGCAGGAATGACCGACCCTTCTGCCCGCTTGACTTTGCGACTGCGATCGCCCACACGGATCCGTCAACAAGTGCGGTGTTCTGGGATTCATAATGATTCATGCAAATCCACTGCATGTAGATACCAAATCGAGAAAGCAAGCCGGTTAAAGGGGTGTATCCGCTGCCAGCATTGATCCGCAGCCAGGTCAAAGCACTATTAACCGCAGAGCCCTGATCTGAAATGCTGGCCGGAGGAAGTGGTCCCATAAAGCTAGCGGGAAATGATTCACGCCTACTGCCTACTGCATTGGCCCTGATGCCCAGCTCCTCTTCTCGTTCCTGGGCTGCAGATCGCAAGGAACTTCAACAGCCTGCACCTCCTGATAATGCATGTACCTGTGAGCCGAGCATCAATGTACTTCTTCAGCCGGACAGTAAGGGCCGCATTGATGCGGTGTGTGGCTGCATAGTCGCCTTGCGTGCAGCTCTTTGCACACGCATTTGTTCAAGCCTTGAGGATGCAGCAGAACGCTTCGCAACTGTTGCAGCACGCAGGGACTTTGCCAACTTCACCGAATGCACCCGAGACTCTGATGGCTCCCAGCTTTCTGCTCCGTTCTTTCCTCCGTCCGCGCGAAAACAATGCTCTCAAATCTTCTTGGAAGAGCAGCCTGAGGCCTTGCAAATGTATTTTGCTGCTAAACCAGGAGATTTACTTTGTGCAAGCCTGCCTGGCATACACCCATAGGCCTTGCCTTAACTCCTTGCAGGGTCTCGTGTAAATTGAACGATCTTCACTGCATCCAGGATTCCACATGCGCGCCAACTTGGCCATCGTGTTTGTCACATAACCTCAGAAGCTGACAGTCGATGGAGACATACGGGAAACCCGGGGATTTCTTGCACGGAGCAGCTGATGAAAATCGAAGAGAACAGGAGTGATCCGAAGCTGGCGACCTGGGCTTCGGGCACAGGGACCGGACCACCGAAAACCATGAGAAGGCGCGTAAGATTCCGACGAGCGAAAACATTCGCTCTTGCGGCAGCCGCAGCTTCCTGGGCTGAGAGATGTGGCAGTTGCAGAGCGTGTGTCGGCCTTTCGTGTGCTACCAGCAACCTTCTCTATCCACACAACCCGAGGAGCATGTTGTCTCGAAGCGAAATGGGGTGCAACCTGCTCAGTCACGACATCCTGCAACATAGCTGAGGCAACCAACCCCGCCTCGACAGTGACCACTGCATGCTCTGGAGATACGTGGTTCCTCGCAACAAACCGTCCAGCATGTCGTTTGGGCGTCTTTAAAAATATGAAACAGCACGCCCAAAATCAACAGAAATTGAACAGATCAAGCAGGCATTTGAATCGCGCGGGCGTTGTGGCTCAATCCACGCCGGTCCTAGATCCTGGCCGTACAATCCTTCAGTGTAGACCCATCCTTCTTCCTGGCCGGATTGAGTATGCAACAGACCTCGCTATGCTTTGTGCACTCCAGCCCAGGGCTCTAAAGTTCGGAACATATGCGTCTTCTGCAACAGCACTGTGTCTTGCTGATCTCCACGAGCAGCTGCATTCATCTCTTGCACAGCTTGAGACTTGAAAACAAGCAAAGCATAGCAAAGCACAGGCCTCGCTACCAAGCCAATACCAAACCTGAAAACAAGCCACGGAGCATTGCTGATTGTCATGACGAGACTGAGGAGACTTCGACTCCAAAGCAGACATGGGGAACCGGAGGAGATTCCCACCGCATGGTCTGGAGCCCAAGGCACGCATGCGAGGACATGGGTCAGCAGCATCGTCGAAACGAAAAGCTGGACGACATTGATCATGAAAGTGACCTTGCTGAAGCATACTTCCCTGAGACGGCTGCTCCTGCACTTCAGATCACTTCAGCCTAGCAGCGATTTCTCCTGCCATCCGCTGCTTTAAGTCATCGAAGAGGCGCTTCCTTGAGTAGCACAGTCAACAAAGCTGAACCCCTTGGCCTTCCAGAAGTCCGAACCCTGGGAACTGCCCTATGCTACTGATCCAAGCCCGCTACTTCCGCTACTTCGGCAAGATGCAGCTTGACAACACGCAGCAGACGGGCCAGGCGCAACATCCGAAGAATTCGTCCAGTCCTGCATGCATCAGAATCGCAGCCATGTCTGCTCGAATGTTGGAGAAGTGTTCCAGATTCTCTGTACTCAGCTGGCCGCACCTCATTGTTCTGGCCAACGTAAGAGTGTCAGCAGAGTTCATGTTTGCAACCGTCGCAACCCAATCCACGCTCACCTCGGACGCACAGAGAGAGAGAGAGAGACGGAAGGAAGGGAGGACACCCGCTTCTGCATCCCCCAAACATGACTCTCGCACCAGAAATGTTGAAGCAACCTCAAGAAACTCACCATGAAGCAGGCATGTCACTAGCAAGAAGTCGATTGGCATCCATGTCCTCGAATACCTTGCTCCATAGGTGAGGCTGTTGAAAACTCGCCGCAGCTGGTCAAGTCTGCTCTGGATAGCTGGGTAGCTGGGTTGATGCCTTTGGCAGATCGGATGCCCATATGCTGGCAAGGAACGAGTACAAAATAAGATAGTAACTCGTCACCAGCTTCCCGTTCCGGTACGTTGCAGTCAGCATAGACACCGGGATGTCAACCGTCCAGTAGATGGTGCAAGTCATCTGGGACAATGCTTTCGAAGGGTGGGTTGGAGCTACCACCGAAAACAATCCCGACAGAGTCAGGCTGGCTTCAATCTTCTCAAAAGCATGATTCAGCTGAAGCAACATGAGGTACATGTGAACGTAAATCTCTACGTTGCTACTTGCTCCACTTCGATAGCATGCTTGCATCAGTGTCTACATTGCATGCTCGCATCCACTGTTGATTTTTCCTCTGCCCCGTTGTGACCTGTCTATCACTCTCCAACTCTCGCCTCAATCTTCTTCCACACGGGTTGACAAGAGCTGCAAGCTGTCAAACCCTTCACCAGATCGGAAGCAAGAGACAAGCCCCAAACTTGACAGGGGGAAGGAGTAGGGCCGTGTCCGCCAGAACAAAACAACATGGAAAATCCTTCAACACTGAAGGCAAAACCAGAACCGTGCCGGGAGTGAGGGAGCGGCAAGTCGCGAAGATCAAACAGTGTCCAATCCCAAAGCCTAAGAAAGGGAGTCTGGACGCCAAACCCGTCAAACGAGCTCTGGAGCGGCGAGCCTGCAACCCTAAGACGAATCGGTGCACGTCAAGCCCTGGATGAAAAGAATTGCCCACTAGCCCAAACTCCGGATGCTAAAATGCTAGCCCATGCAGGCAACGCACTGTGGAATGATGAAGGGCATTTCTTGATTGCGGACTGCTACAATGAGATGCGTGGCACAGGTCGGGTGTTAGATATCACTCTGCGTCTGCTTCTTCATTCCCAAAGCCAAAAGAATAAGGGGTAGGGGATTCTGTGTCTCCCCCACTTTCTTTCTTGAGGGGCAGACCCTACCGTCCCCGCGTATGAAACTAAACCGAGTATGTTGGGAAGAGGCCTATGACACGATGATGCAGATCTGCATATCTTGGCTTCACCTATGACCTATGCTTGCTATTGAACTGCGAGCAGGTTGCTATACGCCCGTACTTGAAAAAACTGCTTTGCATTAGCATTAAGAGCTCAACAGACATTCTTAACTTTAAAAACATTAAAAATCTGCCCAATCTGAAATTTACACTTGTAATAATGTGAACTCTGCTTGTACCAACACTAACCACAACAATCATATTCACAGTCACATGACTGGTACAAATATTGCCAACACGAACACTTTTTGCAATGGGCAATCGTATTGCCAATCGTCAAAATAGCAAAGCCGGCGCGGGGGAGATCAATACCACCAGTCTGTTCCGTCTGCTCCATTGTACGTTGTTTCAATCATTTGTGGGTTTCGCACTTTCAATCACTGAACGTTTTAGGACCAATAGCATGAAATTACTAATCGTGTTCGTAAAAAGGCAGCCGAGAAGGCACCGGGAAGACCATCTGCAATACTTTCTATCTCTTTGTATGTCTTGAATGAGATGTACAATGATCATTAGTTGTGACTGCCGTCAGTTGCACATGTAATGGACAGAGCTGTGCATCATGGCTCAAGCAAACGCTGACATCCGGAACGCTGACATCCAGCGGCGGATCCCTAAAGACAGATGGTAGTAAGGCCGGCACCGCCATGGCAGACGTAAAAATAGTGTCGGGTATATCGAAGACCTTGGTGCTTTGGCCAGGAGTCAAAGCGGGACTTTGCGATTCGATAACTGGATCTCTTTGAATTTGGCATCTGCGCTTCGTGCTTCGAAACGTACAAGCTGAGGAAGCTGCCATCATGGGAGTGACAACCTGAACTCGTGAAGAGAGGGGAAACCATGTCAAACACACCTTTTGGGTTGATCGTGTCCCCCTTGCAGGACAGGATGTCTGAGGAAGCTGTTGGGGAGTACACACAGCTTAGATACAAAGGCGAGGTCTGAGGTGGACAAAGTGATTCTGACGGCTAGCTGTCGCTGAAGGCGGACTGTGCGTCCGTTCATTCCTCAAACCTGCCTTGCCAAGGGCTGCACCCGGATTTTTCTGCCCAAGACGTGGTCTCGTTCTACGCTTCTCCACAAACTGGGAACCTGCGCTCTGTTTACAAGGTCTGCACCTCGGGGACACAGGCGCCACTGCATGCACAAACACGAACAGTGTGATAGGCCGAGAAGCCATGTCGAAGAGGAGCAATACCATTGCCAGTAGATCCTGGTGCTATTGACTCGGACTAGCAGAAAGGGATACTGGTCCGGTGCTCTGGCTCGGAGGACGCAGTCCAACTCTAAAGCTACTCGGGGAGAAAGCCGGTGTCTTGGTGGCAGACAAGTCCAATACTGCAAAACGGTGATTCTCAGAGGTTCTTCATTTGCTGCCAAGTATCCCAAACGAGACGCCTCTTGGAAGACCTCGGTGGTGCTTTTCAAAAGAGTATCTGGTGAGGCTCTGACTCGAAAAAGTATCTGCGGAGGCCGGAGGCCGGGGGCCTCTTTTGGTCTGTTTGCAGGAGACCATGCAATGATATTCAACAATGGTATTACCCTCCCCCTCTCCAGGCCCTCTGACCACAGATCGGGCTTTTGCTTTCGACTTTTGGTTCAACTTTGTTCAACTTTGACAGACAACTTTGACAGACAACTTTGACAGACAGGTTGACCCAGGGGCCGTCCCCGAGGCGGCTCGAGATGGGTCTGGACTGCAACTCTTTGATGCACCTGACAGGACTTCCAAAGTTTGGAAGCCTGACACTGAATGCTCTGAGCAGTCGGCGGGTGGATCGGAAACAGCTGCCAGGAATTCAACATGCGCTCCTCCTGCACCTGTCACACTCTGAGAAGCAAGAGCACTTCGGTGAAACTTCGTCCATGCCTGCCTCCGCAGGTGTTGGTCCCTGCTCGGTGGCCACCGAAGCGACGTGTTTCACGTTGTACCCAGCTACCTGCACTGCCCAGAGACAAAGCCCAGTGTCACGCGAGCGCTGGAAACAAAAGAAAGTTTCCGGACACAGGGTTCAAAGCCGACCACAATGAAAATGCGAGATGCGAGCTCTGAGCTCTGCTTTGTAATGCACCTCCGCTTCATGTCCTCAGTTTGCCATTTGAAGGCATTTAGGGTCTCCTGCATCGGGCTTCTGACATCGCTCCCGACAGCATTCGGGATGGGCAAGGGCTTACACAAACAAGTTTGCTGCTACTGGATGGAATCTGTGATCCTCTACAGCACGACATCTTTCGCGGCTTCCCTCACTGGCCACATGGACATGATTCAACGAGCTCTTCGTCACCGATATCAAAGCTCGATCGCAGCTGGAAGCGGTCCACCTTGCAAAAAGCAGGTCTTGCCGAAACTAGATTCCTGCGATCACAGCATCCTTATTGGCGGTTACTGACAATCGAGGTCCCTTTGCTCTCGCTTTCTTTCTGCAGTCTGCCGCCTCCTTCGGTATCCCGTACATAAATAGAACTCCAGTCCCTTGGTCTTTGCTGTTGGACTCTGCGGGCGCCCGCCGTCACCGAACAGGTTCGCCCGCACCTCCACGGTGGCTTCTTTTCGGACCGCCTCCTCGAAAGCAGCCGCATCTCCTAGCTGAGCACCAGCAGGTCACCAGACTCAATAGACTCTCCAGGTCTCTCCATGAAAACGTCCTACACTGCCAGGGATGAAACGCAAGGACGAGCTGCTCATGGCCAAGGCTACCCGGTCCGTTGCTGAGATGCTCTGACGTCGCTCCATCAACCTTCGAGGCAAAACCAGGAAAGCGCCCTAACCCCTATGCTAAAGCTTCCCAACTCTCCATCCTTCGAGTCTGCTTCTTCTAAACTCACCATCATCATCACCATCATGCAGCAACATTTTTTGTGCCACGACAGCTCCAGGTACGACCACAGCAACCGTGAGACATCGTGAGACACTCCATAGCGCAGCAAAGTGCCTCCATGCTGGCTAGCCCCAATACATGCATGATCATGTGCGCTTGCAGCCAAGTAACGCCTGTCGAACTGTCCTGAAAGCAGAGCCAACGAAGCACAAAAGCCGTGACGACTCCACCTCTACGAGCATGACAGAAACTAAGTAGCCTTCCAGACGTGCCACTGCATGGAAAGGAATCGCACTTGCTGCAGCAATGATCGCCCGGAGAGCAGCGGAATGCAAGCTGAACAAAAGAATAAACTGGCGACAACATCCATCCCCTGGAAACTGTCCAGGAAAAAACCGGCAGAACGCGTCCAAGGCGCGCCGACTCCCTGTCTTCGGAGACTCGACGTTCGCTCGTGTTACCCAGACGCCGCGCGAGCAGAAACTTGTGCACCACGGGCGCCAAGCGGCCTTTTAGCCTGACGTGAGCGGAGGGCCGAAGAGAGGCTATCGAGCGTGGAAGCTTTCCGAGGGCTATCACTCTCTTCGCTCGGTTGGCCCTCGGTAAGCCTCTTCTCCGGAGCACCTGGGCCGGAGCTTCGTGGCTCCACAGCAACCTGCACCTGGCACGCGGATGTGCAGAGCCCGTGCTCGCGCAGCGGCACGCCGGAAACTTCTCGCCTCCATTTGCGGAGGGCAGCTGGCAGGGGTCGAAGGCCCCAACGTCACGGAATGGGCGTGTAGTTCCCGCATGTGCGCCTTTTCGATAGTGTAGAGTGAAGCAATAACAAGTTACCAGAAAACTCTGACATGTTTTGCGGCTCCAGTGCTGCCTCCAGTAGCCTTGTCTGTAACGTCCCCAGTTCTGCAATCAGATCCTGGCATGACCAACGAGGAAGCTTTGCTTGCCTTGTCTCCGGAAGAAGGCTTCGATGTAACAAGAGTGCAGTCAACCAACAAGGTACATCTTGCCTGGTTCGTTCAACCCTTGCCGACAAAGCGGAGCTGTAGCCACATGAGGCGTAAGCCTTCTGGCCATGCCGGGGTTCAGGCCTGGAAAGTCTTCGGCATCTGGGGCGTGCCCGAGGGCTTGTCGGCCGCCTCCAGAGAAGAGTCCACAAACATTTCAAGGGCGAGAGCCCGAGCTTCGAGGAATCGCTTTGCTGTTGAGCATTGAGCATCTGGAACCATGCACATCCCGAAACACATCGAAGCCGGTAGGTGGCCCTCTCATGACAAGGCAGACGAAGTCTCAAAGGATACCGTCTCTTCCAACCACGACATGCCCTGGACAGCTCCCGCCATGATGCTGCAGGAGCTTGAAGAAGATACCTGGCAAAAGTCGACAACAAGCCATTGTTCTGTTGAAGGAACCTGTCACACAGCCGCTGAGTTACTAATTCGCGAATGAATCACGAATGCCAGTAGTAGAAGGCTGTCCAACTTCAAGAAACGACAGCACTGGGGCTCGAGTACAGCTACGGCAGCTACGGGAAGCCCGAGGCTTCGAAAACTGGCCTGCGAAAGGGCTCTAACCAGTCCAAATCAAAGCAACAAGCAAAACCAAAGGAGCTCCACGCAGGCCTCGACATCGTTCTCTTCCTGATCGTCATCCCTTTTTGCTGCTGGCTCCTCAGCACATGTTGGTTTGTTAGGGGGGACATGGGGTCACGACGGCAAATGACATTTCCAGCTCCAGGGGCCCCAGCAGTCTGAGCTCTCGGGATCCCCGCAGCCGCCGCCATGCTTACAATGTGTTTACATGTGCCACGCAGAGACAGACTGGATGTCCTCCCATGCATTATTTGGGGCTGTTGCTTTTTGGTCTATGCTGCTCTGTTTTTTCCTAGTGCAAGGCAACTGTCAGTTTTCCCATCAACCTCGCCAGTTTCAGGCTGTTGCTACCTAGCGAGGCCGCGCCAGAAGACGCTGCCATCTAACCCTATCTTGAGCTACAGGGTTATGCTGCTCTGGTGGGCCAATCATCGGGGCTTGCATGCCCCACTTGAGCGCTAGGTGACTGCATGAAACTTATTCCGAGCAGACGTTTCGGCATGAGCAGCATGGTACCTCCGACGCGTGCCACTTCACCCTGCGGAGCACACCACATTCAAGGCTTTGCAAACTCCGAGTCTGCAACCATAGTGGCTTCTCACATTCGAAAGGCAGTACGTTTAAGTGCTGGGTCACCGTGCCTGATGAACAGAGCCAGAATTGGGCACCTGCAATCACAAGCGAGGTGCCGGCTAGACGAAGCCTGCCTACATCCATCACGGAATTTTGCTGAGCTTCCTCCAGAAAATCGTTGCAAATGCAGGTGGAGGTCGGTGGTCATTCGAGCCTACTCTGTCTTCGTGCCGGGTATGAGCAACGGATTCTTGGTGCCACCAGGCGGTCTGAAACCATGGCAAGGCCGAGCCACGGACGCGTGCCTACTAACAATGTCTAGAGCACACGCGACAGGAATGAGTCGTCCATGCACATCTCACTCGAGAATGCAGAGACACTGCACCTGCAAATCATCCGGAGCTGCTTACAAAAACTATCAGTCGATCAAATAGTCAGATAGTCCAATACAACCCTTCAGATGCGACCTGTGCATGACATCGAAGTCCAGTATTCACTCTTGGGCGCCTTCCACTCTTCGGATGCAGCGGCGCAGCTGTGCTCCTGGCACACGGTGGCTTTGTGCTTCTCAGCACATGAGCGGATGGCAAATTAATCATGGCCAATGAGGGGCTAGAGCCAACCCTCGCATGTCACACGAAAACTGGATGGCAAATTCCACCTTTTTGCAGACAGGTTCTGACCATTCCGTATGTTCATTCTGCTGTTTGTGCATAAACTTGCGAAACATCGAGAGACTGGGACTAAGTTGCTGGAGTGACATGGATTGGGCGCGCTGCATCTGTTCAGAACAGGCTCACAATCTGGAATCGAATGCCAATCCTCCTTCTGATGCAAGATTCAAACACACAGGCATGTTGAATGTCGTTCCAAACTATGTCTTCCTGATGGTCGCCTTCAGCCGCTTGAGGACGGGCTGTCCTCGCATCGGAACTCAAAGTGCGAGCTTCCGGAACTAGTGTGTGTGGTTGTCTACATTATTCTGAGTCTATACGTATGTATGTATGTATGCATGCATGTATGTATGTATGTATGCACATATATACACACACACATATATATATATATAGTTACATAGATAGATAGACAGATAGATAGATCTAGTACACCCCCTTTCTCTACCCGAATCCAAACCTTGGCTGTTTGATGCAAGTTCGCATGCCTGGCTCCACAGAGCTCTATACAGCGTTTGTCGTGTAGAAAGTCGGTATCTACACACTCGTCTGAGCCCCGAAACCCCAAAAGTTTTAAAGTTGTGTAGGCTTAAACCTTTAAAGCCTTTCCCTTAAACCCAAGGCCTCAAGCTCTTTGAACCTTAAACTGTAACCGAAGACAAAGCCTGCTGTCCGATTTGCGTGAGTTGCCTAAAGCTCTACTTGGCCAGCATCTAATTTTTGCATCTGTACTAGCACTGGTACTAGTACTACTGCCAGGACTACTAGCAGCCAGTTCCGGCACATGTAATAAGCAGCCAGCCCCTGAAAAACATACAGTTCCGAGAGGATTCTGAGACATGTCATGCGATGTTTATCGAACTCCATCCTAGCCGCTACTCTCCGGAACCCACCTTTTTGCAGGTGGGCTCTCTCAAAGCCTGTTGCGACAATCGAACCCAGCATCATCAGCATCATTGTCTCCAGGTTTCTCCGAAAAATGCGGGACAACATGCTCCCAAAGGCGAGCCGTTGTGACAGGAGATGTGGGCCTACACATGCCCGAGTTTGCCCGGCGTGGGGTCAAGTCCTCAGCCAGCCACTCGGCCCGGCGAGTTGACAGAAGCAGCGTCCCACCATGCCCTCGGGAAAGGCCCTGCAGGAAGAAACTTCATCGCAGTCCGAACGCCCTCAAACAAGGGGCACCTGAAGCTGGAAAAATGCTTGACAATGCCTGGCGCAGGTCTTTCAGAGCCAACTCATCCAGGAATTGCCTTACCACAGACACTCTTGCGAAGGTCAACAGGCGCATTCTCATAACATCGGAGAGGAGCGGTGAACCGTCGATGTTGGAGATGAAGAGCACCTTCTTGCTGCTCTAGGTTGGGAGTGCAAAAATGAGCTTTCGGTGACCGTACTTCAACGGAAAAAATATGCGACAGGGCCAGACTTGTGTTTGTCCGTAAGCGTCGGGCTGTCGGTCCATCAGTTGGATGCATGTCTTTCAGGTTCCTCCGCTGAAAAGACAGCGAGCCAGATGCGCGAAGATCCATCAACAATGCACGAAGTCGACAGTAGCCTTGCCACAGCGACAGCACCGTCCGCTCGACGAAGAAAGACTCCATGGTACTGCATGGTCATCACTGGCATGGCTTTCAAATCGCTTTGCTGCCATGTTGCTCGTTTCCTCCCTCAGCCAACCGCACTCGTTTACATGGAAGGCCTCATTCTTCTGGCCACCGAGGCGCCTGCCACAAACAGAGGTACCCAGAATGTGCGGACTGGTTGGACCCGACATTACTTCTGCTGCGGTCGTGCTCTTGCACTCTCGTCCTCACATGAAAGTGGCAGGATTGCAGACCGAAGCAATCCCGTGTCAATTCACGTCCTGCTAATTGAATGCAAACCTGCCAAAACCTTCCTGACATGCTACGTTACATCGCCATCCCGGCTCATGACATGCATCAGAAAGCCGCGCATTGTTGCTTGGAATACAATTGCATTCGTACTAAGAGGCCGTTGGAAAGATAATCAATGTACCGTGGGTAGCAGCAATTTCAAATCTAGGCTAATCAAGTTCTGGAACCCAAGCGACAGTGACTATCTGGTGCACACGAACCGTCAGACTGAAAGCAATTCCAATAGCCAATAACTAAGAATCCTTCCAGATCTCATGTATCAAGGCCCCCAGAAGTGCAAAGCCCTCCAGCTGTGTTGTGAACAGTCCCGACCCACCTCTGCGACTTTGTCAGGGAAGCAACGCAACTCCTTCTCTTGGGAAGCAGCTCGTGTTGCCTCAACACGAAAGACTTCAAGCGGAATACGGCACTGATCTCTTGGCTCCAAGGCGCCCGAACGATGGCCAGGCCACTGGCCAACCGCATGGTGTGGAGATGCAAGTAAACACCGTCCGATACAGTCCTGAACCGAAATATGGCAAAAACATGAACGAAAGACTCTGCAAAACCATCTATAGCGCACACCATCACATCTCCCGCCTTGCAACTTGGCCGGCAGCTGGCATACGATCCTGGGTGAGGCAAACAAGCGGATACTCAAGATTCATCCAAACATACTCGCACCTGCAGCCACTCTATGACAATATCTTTCCAAGAACGACAGAGGTTGCCAACGCCCGGCCACTGCTTCTCCAAGGACTCACGGATGCACCATTTGTGGCCCAAACAGCGGTAGATGGCACGGATTGATATGCGGTTTGTGACCTTTGTTTCTACAAGTAACACCAAGGCGCGCCAGCGCCAGAGACATTGTTAAAATTGAAAACCATGCCGCGGGCAACAGACAGCAGCAAATTGGAGGATGTCAAATTTGGAAAAAAGTTTGCAGAGCTCGGTTTCGAAATTTTCATGGTGTGTGCAGATGTGAGTTTGGGTCCGTGGATTCTGGCATCGACATTGACAGATGAATGGACGGACGGACCAGCATGCAAACTGGCCTCCTTTTTGCGATGCCCCACAGCGATCTTTCCGAGATGACGCTTGACTACGGCATTTGACTATTCGTTGCCCTGGGCCCCTGGCCCGAAATGCACCACTCGGTCTGTCCCAGTCGCACCAGGGTCACTAGACCAAACCATTGCTCCCCCTATTGTCACTATGCACTCCTCGCACCCTGCGTCACGGGAGCGGCACGGAGATGTTACGCAAACCCTGCACCATGCCCGAAGTCTGAGCTCCACTCGAGGACTCGATGTCTCTGTTCACTGGCAAATCCAGAAAGTCCATCATGTTGGAAACCTTGGCAGACTCTGGCGCTGAGCACTGCGCACGGAAAGGACACTGGAACCACAGCCGGCTTCGAGGGGTCGTTTTCAATTCTCGAAAAGGCGCTCCAAGCACTCTGCCGAACTTCCTCTCCGAGCGTCCGAAAAGGGACCTACGATCGAAGCTCGCATGGCACATGGATGCCGAGAACACTTCGGTTCGTTCGGTTGCAGACGAGAATCGCCAGAAAGGCATCACGAGAACTTGCTAGGCACAGGAGCTCCAGGACCAGCTCGCCGTAGAGCAGCTGTGTCCGGTTGATGTCGAAAAGCGTGACTCTTCGAACCCCAACCTGCGGACACGCTCAGTCGAGGTCGAGCAGCACTAAGCCTGTTAGAAGTAGCGGAAGGGTCCTGCCTGGGCCTTGGAAAGGGCTTCGAGGCTATCGAAGCCACTGAGGCCTCCCACAACGCTCCGAAAGTCCTCCACAGGGCCTCCTGCTCAGGCGACCAGACACGGGATAGAGCAGAAGCGTGTAGTTGGAGCGCGCGCTCTGCGCGACCACCACGTTTCTGGGTTAATTTGCCTTAACCCCTAGCATTTCCCTCGGGTTTTTGCTACTTTGCCCGCTCATCCGGTTTCAGACTTCCAGGCTTCCTTTCTTCTTTTCGGATATTCGGTTTAACCTTGCTTTCGGACTTTCCTGCTGTCAGACTGACTTTGATGTTCAGCCTGTTTCGACTGGTTTGGGCGGTGGGGGGAGATGGGGGGGATAATGACGTCCTTTGGCACCGACTCATGGCTTCTCGGTACAAGACAGGCCGTCAAGTCGGTTTAGGGCCTAGGGCCTAGGGTTGAAGGTTTAGGCTTGAGTGTGTCATTGGACTCTCGACCCTACGGGAAGGCGGTAGCTCAACAGTACTGGTCGTCAGCCGCCGCCGCAGCAGCAGCCGCACTCGGCTACAGTACAAGTCATCGCCAGTGGAAGGCCAAACCACGGCAAATGCTGAACTTGAGGGCTTCAAACCGACGTTCTGGATCAGAGTGGAGCCAGGGACCATGGATTTCGAGCGTGGGCGAGTGTACTTGGCTTGTCGCGGCACTGTTGCTGCGCTTGGAAGGGGTTTCGCTGCCCGCGTCTTTGGCGTTGGGCGGCTCTCTCCGGTTTCCTCTAGATGAGATAAAGGAAGTCTTTGCTGTCACTTGCCAACCATGTTTGGTGAAGTCTTCAAAGACACGTGTTTAAGCATTTGCAAGTACATGGGAAGAACAGTTTTCAGCATTAAGATTCCGCCTCTTTCCTGTTGCAAGACCCTAAAGTAGTTTTCAACATTCACACTCGTAAAACACTCTAATAGCTCTGTCAGGCCCGAACAACCTGTAAACTACGATGCGAACGGCTTCTCGTTGCTTCGTTATGTGCTTGCCGGCCGGTGGCCGCGCAAGGCGCGTACACGTGTAGTTGCTCCTGGCCATATCCGCAGTAGCCGGCGACAGGTTGCTGCACGCACTGAGGCTGCCTCCACAAGCACAACAAACAAGAGGACGGGATGGACAGCAGAAGACTTGGAGCACAGGCTTGAGCTGACTTCGGCAGGAGATGCATGCCAAAGAATCAGGCATGCACCATTCCTTCCGACATAAATACTGCACGCATGCATGCATACATGCATACATACATACACACATACACAAATAAATGCACAGGCTAGACTTCTTTGGATGGACGCCCACCATGAGTCGTTCAGGATCCTTCGCAATTCCGGTCAATGTGATGAGTGTGGTGATTCGGCCCGGAGACTTCCGTGATGCCACACTCGCATCGGCACCCTGCAGTTTGCATTCTTACTTTTGGCTTCTCATGCTGCCCCACCTCAGTTAAAAGTTGAAACAGAAGAACCGACAACCTTCGTGCACCGAATCGTCAATGCCTGCCTCCGTGCAGGCAATGTAGGGTGGGCGGTTCGGCACATTACGCTGTTTCGCAGCCTGGCGTCTTGCACAGGTTCACTCAGACTCTGCATTCTTCTCTGTCATACTCTGCGCCTCGCCCATCCTCACCCCTAATTTCTGAACATGGCACACATGGAGTTTGACGTCAACACGCATTGAGGACCTCGCGCCACATCAGGAATCGCTCTTCGAATCCTGGGTTTACCTCGAAGCACGAATCGCATCAGCTGCTGTTGCAAAATGAAGGATGCATAGGTGTGGCGTGCCGGCTTGCACATACATTCTGTGTCAGTCTGGTGGTTGCAAGCATTTAACAAAAAAAACAGTGCAACTTCTAGTTTCTGCTCCTATGCGGTACGCAGCTGCACTCCTACTTGAAACGAAACCAGCGTTCAAGAGATGCGAACGAGGTGCATGACAGTTTAAGCCCTAAACACAACCGGCTTCGCCAAACTCTTCCAAGGCGCCGAAGCCAGCGGAAGCAGCTCGAATGAGAGCGGCCGGCTCACCCATGCAATGGCCCAGGCCCAAGCCCAAAGAACCTGCCGGATTGGGCCGTGGGTTGGCCATGTCATGACTCTGCGACGAAGCGAGAGCTACTTGTAGCTGGGCCGCGCTGGTCGCCTGCAAACCGGATCGACGACGCACTTGCCCAGCCATGACCCTCCATGGTACGAAGTCAAAGAAGACGAAGTGTAGGCCAGTAAGACAATGATACTTCCGGACGACTCTGGAGCTTCAGGTCAATCCAGTCATATAGCGAAAGAAAGGTTTCAATTAAGGACATGAGCTGACTCGCTTGAGTCTCTTCCACACTGACACCACTGATCGTGCAGTTTCGTTCAGGAAATGACACTGGGAAGTTGTAGATGCTTCAATGCTTCAACAAACAGGCCTTGGCTTCGTCTTAAGCCCTGCAAGGCATGAAGGAGGTCGGCAGACACCATCTCACTCCCTGTGGACTCGGCAGCTCCAACTGACAATCTCGAATCCATGGATGCACGAGATCTTTTGCTCTGATTCAGAAGCCACTTGCCGGCTGATGCCACAAGGTCCATTGGTCGCACTGCCATGAACCTTTGAGCCGATTCGAAACTCACAGTCAAGCCTTGTCGCAATGAATCTGCAGCCCAAAGGTCGAAAAGCCTCACGGACGAAAACTTGAGACCCAGGCAGGAAAAGCAACCCCGACAGGGTGTGCCTGGGACTCGACAGATTTCCTTCAGAGTCGGATTCCCCAAGTTTGGGAATACCTCCGCCTCAAATCACTTGAGCATTCTACATGTAAAGTTTCTTGCAAGCCTGACGATACTTGAAGGCTCCAATGAAGAGGCTCCCGAGCCTCCTGGCTCGGAGCCAAATTGGAGATGCAGGATTTCAGACATAGCTCTGCCGAAAGTACCTGGCAGCCCTGAACATCCGCCTCTCAATCTGGGCCCAGGCCGACTATGTGTACCTCGGCGCAGCCGGCAAGCCGGCAAACGGCTGACAGTGTGATATGTGCAGAAAAAGTGCTGCCTACCGGGGCTGCACAGACACGTGTCCCACGCTTCCACCGTATCTGCACTGCCTAATACAAGCACCGAGGAGCAAAGTGGTAAGTACTTGTGCAGCAACAGCCAGCACAAATAAGCACTTCCCAGCATTACCTTAGGCGTCGCTCAACAGCCCAGATCACTGCATCACTTGCCAGCAAAGCAAACCGCCAAGGCCAAGGATGCGAGCTGTATCAAGGCACACTCGTCAACGACACTGTAAGAACCACCCCAATGACACTCTGAGTTCTGTACTCATGTGCTAAGCCCGACGAAATTTCTCGTGCAGTTTTGGGGTTTCTTTCGTGTTTCTGCAAGCGGGGGGATATCTGCGCACTGTTGCTTCGTATCTGTTCTCGGACTTATGGGTGGCCGGGTGGTAATGACGTTGCCTGAAACCGAGAATCTTAAGCATCTTGTCCGAAAAGGGAGAATGCTGCAAGCAGCAATGTTTTGGGCATGGTCGCCATATGAGTCGGCGTTGCTACCCCGTGACACATAAAGAAAGAATGACATTAAGAACAAAGCCATGGCAAGACTGACGGAAAGAAAGACATGGCACCACAAAGACCAACAGATCGACAGAAATGTAAAAGCAATTCAATTCAGGAAGAAAGGAGACAACAAAAGAAAGACCCGAGGAAAGAAGGAAGCAATCAATACAAAGAACGACATATAAATGATGAACTTGCAAAGGAGAACGCTGTTTTTGCCTCTTTGTACAACCTGCTGTGGAATCAACACAACACCCCAAACACTGACTTACTCCGCGCTTCCTACAAGACGACAAGCCCAAGTAACACTGCAGACCCGACGAGACCGCGACGACAAAGGGCTGCATATCAGAGTGTACCAGTGTACCACATCATGCCATGTAGTACAACCCACTGAGCCTCACAGGGCCGCATACGTGGCGAGCGAGTCCCAAGCTCGAGTTTTAACCGTTTGAAAAAGAGGGAGGCATGAACGTCTTTCTCCAAGTTTCCAGTAATCCCGCCTGCTGGGGTGGTTATTCGAGTCGAATCTTTAATTACCTTGTTACCCTCACAGGAGCGCAATCCTGAGTTTTGCTCTACTACTGGGCTGAAGATCCGTCCAAATCTAGTACCCGCAGACCAAGTTGCCAGCACTCAAAGATGGATTTTCGCTGATCATCCGCACACCGCCGCGCATGGCCAGAAGAAGGAGCAGCCTGTGCACATTGAAGGCTGCGGCAACACACGCTTCATTATTTTTCTTATCACGGAATCCGTCTTCCAGGTAGGCAGGAAGCTTGAAGTTTTGAGCAACCCCGAAGTGAATACAAGAAAGATACAAGAACGCGATGTGCCAAAGTCTTCAGGTTCGTTGAGATTTCGTGATCCGGGATGCTGTTATGCACAAACTGCCCTGGGCAATGTTGAATCCCTGACGTGACAGAGCGGGGCAAAGGCATGCATGTTGTGCACAAGACCTCCCTAACCCGTGCACTGTGAGAAGGTTGCTCCCCCACCATCTTGAACCGTGTCTGAACTTGTGGTGGCTAGCTACATCAATCAATGCCCTAGCATGCTGAAAGGTTCGCACGATCAGGTGGCATGCGTGACCGGGCCTTCATTCGTTGAGGTATCGGCTTGTGGTAATGAAAAGGCTCTTAACAAGCAAGTAAGCTTGTTCTTTGCTTGTTATGCGTTCTGGGCGTGCGGAAAAACAATCCACATGGCCGAAAGCTCGAAGGGCCTACGGCAAAGCAGACTCCTTTCAGCCTCTGGGTTGCTTATGCAATCTGCGAGAAGCTGCCTTGGGGATGCGATATCATGCAGCATTCACAAAGGAGCGGCTATGGCGGGATTGTAATCTAAAGAAGTCTGACGCGGTACTAAATTCTGTTGTGCATTCATGATTCCCGCTCTGAGGGTTTTACTACGCTCTACCCGAGCTGCCAGGAGACGTGACATATATCTTCAGGCCCATGGGCAGGTCCTTGTAGCCTCAGTGGAACGAAATCACACACCAAGCTAGCACAGCTGCATCTCCCATTATCCCTCCAGGACTTCCAAGCAAGTCACATGCGAGGGAAGGGCAGCACGTTCCGCGCGTACTGTATGATACCTTCGCTCTGGTTACACATGGGCATCGTGCCACCGGACAAGCTAATTATCCTTTTTCCACTAAGCGCTTTGCAAAGAAGTTCTCTGAGCCCATCCCGGAGCTTCAGAACTTCAGGACCTGCACTAGTTGGTTCATAGAAGTGGTACTGCAAGGTCCAAACACATCTGCCTGTTGCTTCTACCCGAGCATGACCAGTGAAACAGCATGTCGACGAGTTTCTACATGCCTCTGCTGATGTACGGGACCGGTTTACTCAAGCAGATATTATGGGCTTTATAGCTTTATAGCACACATCAGGTGCCATGGTTCTCCTGAGACTTGCTGTGCCTGCAGCACTCATTAGTTTTGCAGGACTGCTAGATGGAGAAGCAGGAATCGGGCACGGAAAAGGCCAGGCGCAACAAAACCCGAGCATCGCGGCCCAACCCTATCCTAAAGTGGCTGAACTTCTCGCTGCCGCGGCGCCAATGCTTTTCCTGGAGCTACTTCTTACATCTTCCCGGATCACAAGGAAACCTGTCCTTCAACTACTATCGGGCAAAGGACTCGCCTATCCGACCTTTGTTTCGAACTGTTGAAGACCCGCGAGGTCGAGCCTTGGAGCCCGTTAGGTTTATTCAAGGTTAAAGGTAATCTCCCTCCTCGAGGAAGACATGTCGAATGACAACGCACCAGCTTGCAACAGTGCCACGCAATCCGGTGGCTGCGCCGGTGGCGCAACACGCACATACGAATCGAAGATGCCTGGTCAGGAACCGGTCTGACCTTCATACTTGCTTGGCTATGTTGATGTTGCACACGTGTACACAGTGTACACATTCGTCCAGGGTTTTTTAGGAGCTGTTGAGGAGCTGCCATGATATGAACAACCACCCTCGAACTGGGCAGTTTTCCCAAGTCAGCATTTGTCACAAAATCTGTAAGCTCACAGAGAATCAAACTTTTAATCATTTCAAGCCACGATGTTATCCCCAACCTGACGAATTCATAACACGTCGCTTTTGGCTCGATCCGGCTGACACTCCAGTTAAACTCGTCTAGCAAAGACGCCCTGCAATCCATTCTGGATTCAGTGCGAGCACGACATCACGCTGGTTGCCCATGCTGAACCTAATCTCTTGCCCTGCTAATGCTATCGTGTTCCTTGCAGACCAGCAGCAAATGCCGTGAAGGAAAATGCCAGATGATGATGTGCTCCAAGAATATTTCATTCTCACAAACTGGCTGCACAGCCCCGATACCCTGCAAGATAAGATACATGATCTGCCCGGGCAGCCTCCCCTATTGCAAACAAGATATGTGCCACTACGTGCCAACACCAACCCCTTCATCAGTGGAGGATTTCATCCAAGATCATAAACCTCCTCCCACAAGAACTCTCCTTGCATTGCAAGATTCGACCGAATTCAACTAACTAGATCGCGGAGACTGGCTACAGTCTTGCGCTGCAGTCCTTAGTCTTCATAGGGTTGCTGCCACATGGTGCGCTGAATCATCTCCTCTAGTCTAGCAGCCTCCTCTGGATCCTGCACTGCTTGTATCAGGCTCACCAAGGATATCGCAGAGGCTGAAGCAGATGCCGACTCTTCGGAAAGTTGTAAGCTGGTTGCCCCAGCTTCTTGAAGTGAGTGCACCGAACTGGCATCAACATCACGGGTGTGAAAAGCAGGGGAGGAAGCTGGATTGAGGTCTGCACGCCTGTCACACGAAGCATGAATGTCCTCAATACTCTGCATGATAAATTCTTCGACGCCCTCGCGCGAATAGCCATCCAGCACTTTGATGCTCCTGCCACCACCCTGCCGGATGAGAGCGGCCCACTCTGAAGCTCGACGGTAGGTCTTGTTCGACTGAGCCAGGATGCACATCTCAAGATGGAATTGCTGTGATCGTGCAGCTGTCAGCAGGTTCACTCCATCAACAATGGGCTTTGCCTCACGCCAATCTGCAAGGAGAAAAACACGCTCAGTTGCCCTTTCAAGCCAATTGAGAAATCCTGTTGATTTCTTGTAAAGCACCAGATTCGAGCCGAAGCTCGCAGCAACTTCCTGTAGTTCGATCAACGTCTGGCCCTGGTCCGCTTTGTTGCACCGCTCATAACACCACACAAGACAAAAACTTGCTGAGCTTGCTGATTCCTGCGGCCGGCAGACGTGCGCGGACTGCGCAGTGGCCATGCGGGTCGCGGAGGAAAAATTGCAAAATTACCAAAGAATGCTTGAGCAATCGAGCAACCGCTTCTGAATTCGGTTTGCGCCAACAGAAGCATAGCTAGCTATTGGGCTGCGGCCACCGGCTGTAAGATGTTGACTGGGTTCAGGCTTTGGCGGGTGTGGTTGAGGGCTTTGGAGCGTAAGGTTTGGGGTCTTCAGGTCGGGTCCGTAGCACTCACCCACACACACATCAACAAAGCCTGCCTATTGCCAATGACATTGCAAAAGTGACATCCAAATCTCGCTGAACATCATCTGCAGTCAGCTGTTCACCGGTCCAAAGTTTGCTGTAGGTCGCATTGAAACCTGAGGCAAACGCACGTGAAAACCCAATTGATCATGTTACACATGTTCGGCTCACTTCTTCTGTTTCACATACTGATTCAAGGTGAATCAAAACTGAGGCTACAAAAATTAACCAATGGCCACGGCTTTGCAAACAGCTTCCATCAAGCCAAGGAGCCTTCCCAGTTTCTCTGCAGCATTGTTTCGAGACGTCCTTGCGAAGACTCTCAGGATTAAGGACGCCATTGCGGATATTGCAGGACACATCCGAAAGCCTCAACGGAACCCGGACGTAGTGGGCAATGTGGCTACTGGATCTTCGTGAAGAAAGCACAGAAGGAAGCATGGCAACGCGAGAAGACAAAACATATGACTTCAGATATCCCATCTTGATATGGGCATCGCGAATCAACCCATCTTCTTGACAACTCTCGACCCTCTCTGCGCGTGCATGGAAAGCGAAAACAGCATGATGCCGGTTTGTATACCTTGCACACTGCTTGACCGTATCACCGCTGCCACAGGCCTTGGTCGCTTCGCTCCTTCTCGGGTGTGCCTTGCCGGTTCCCGCCACGGGGCCCCGAGCCACCAGGAGACACGAAGCTGCGCGGAGAAGTCAGGGCCTGAGGAAGAAGATCAATGGTTCACATGCACAAATTCAGGTTAGATTCACACTGTAACTTGCAGCACTAGGGCTGTCGGTTATTCGATGTGCACGACAAAAAACCGTTGATGTTGGTGAGAACTGAAAATGACTGCATTGTTTTTGGTCTTCCTATTTGGTTGTTATGCTTTGCTTGGATGCGTTGTAGACGGCGACAAGAAACGAACACGATCCTTTGCCTGCATGCATGCTTAGTTTGCACCCCGCAACCTCATTGGCAAGCACGGACACTGCAGTGATAATAGCCAGCGCAGCGCAACATCGACAGCAGCGAGATGGCACCATGAAATCTAAAAAATTTAAAACTGAAGCTAACGCCAATCCATCGAACCTGTTACATGTCTGCTTTGGTTTCAACACAACCCACAATAAAACTCAGATGGATCTGATTCGCAGCACAGAGCACTTGCGACAAATGCATGAAAGCATGAATTGTTGCGATCTAAATGCACAACCTGTGCGGCAACAGACTGCGGTGACCAGCAGACATTCAAGTCTGCACATCGTGCGCATGAACCGCTTCCTGCTGCCTGACGCATCACTTGACCGCAACCAAAACCCAAAAAATCCGACATTCACACCAAAAAGCATGCATGCAAACATCGAGAAAAACAAGAAACACTAGAATCAAGAACACAAACAATCTACACAAACCGAGCTTTGCAAACACTAAGCTGTGAGCATGCACGCAACAACTCACATGTTGTAAGTTCGCCAGTGTGCGCGCATGTCTCGAGGCATGTGGTGAAGGTTTTCAGAGCTTGGAGTTTTTAGCACGACCCACTGGGTTCGAGTCTTTAAATCCAACCCAAACCCCAACCTAGGGTAAGAGTTCAACTAGTTGGAACTTTGGGCACACAAGGTTGTAACTTTGTTCAACCTAACTTTCACCCTTCTGTGTTATGGATTCAAGCCAGTTTTCCGGAGAAACAGCCTACTTTGGAAGTGTTGTTGTCAGACGCACGTGTGGCTTCATTAGCCCTCGTCTTCTTTTCAAGAGGCCTGCTTAATTCCAGCCTTACGGGGGCGCTGCGCTGGAAGACAAGAAGTCTGAAACTAAGCTAGAAGGCTGGAAGGTCAGAGAAGGCTGCAAGGCTGAAGGTTGGAGGGTCGGCCGATGTTCAGTGGATTCTCCAAAACAGAGGTCTCTGGCCGTCGTTCCAGTTCCGTCGGAAACGTGCGACGCCGCAGGCTTCGTTTCCGCGATGTTGTGACATCCATCCACAGGGCTTGGCAGAATCGCTAGAGCATGCGGACCACCACGCACTGGGCGGAGATCTGCATGTCCCTTCAAGCCTTCCTTCAAGTCTCCTCCTTCTTCAAATCCCCTTGAAGCTCTTCTCAAAGTCTCTTGAAGCCCCTTTAAGCTTTCTTCAAGCTCGCTTCAAGCCCTTTCTCTCCCCTCCTTAAGACTTCTGAAGCCCTTAAGTCCCCTTAAAGCCCCCAAGCCCTGTCTTCGTCGAAGGTTTGGACCCAAGTCTCATTGCGTGAAAAACTTAAGGTCCCTCCTAGACCTTTTCCCTTGGAAGTCCAGTCCCTAAACACAGCGGACAGCTGCAAGTCTTTTTCACTCAGCTTGAGCCAAACGTTCGCGGTGCGCAACAGAGTTCACACATAAGTGTGGAAACGAATTCAAACAACCGAATTAGCGTATTGGGCTCTAACCACACAAAGATTTACAGAGTAAATCTTGT